GGAAAACATTTTATATCAATCCAATTTATAAAAAATAAAAAATGCTATTTTGAATTATAATACTCATATATTTCGAAAATGTTATATAAACTGAAAATGTTATATAATTCTCCATTTTTTGAAAATGTTACTAAAAATTGAAAATGTGTCTACGTTCTTATATCTAAACAAAATTTATTTTCAACTACAATTCGTAATCTTTGACAATATTTTCAGTTTTCTAAACATTTGTTATCATCAATTTCGTTGTTTTTGATTAAGCTAAACAATACAATATTTTTAGTTTCCTAAATCTTTGTTTCTGACTTCAGTTGATTATATTGTTTAGGTAGTATGATTAGCTTAATCAAAAACCATAATCATAATTAATCCACGTCGCTAGCATTATTCATTTTTTAATTACGCGTGTCATTGGGTCATCAGATGGGTTTAATTATACTACCTAAACAATATAATTACATAATCTACATATACATTTTTAGAGGGGATTTTGGTTTTTAATTCATTTGGGTCAGGTTTTGACCCAGTTTAATTCTGTTCGGATCTTAGATAAGATAATTAAGGAAAGTTTTTAAAGAAAAACGACACTAATTAGTAATAAATTTGTTTAATTTATTTTGAAAAAGTAATAAATTCGTTTTTCATATTTAATATCACAAAAAATCTTTTTTGATAATATTTTCTGATTTAGGCAACAGAATATGATTAATTTATGACAATAAAACTATAAAATCTATATTATCCTAAAAGCGAATCCCTAAAATAACGTTAATAGGAAACTAACTGCACCAACTAATCTAAATAATTAGCATATTACTAAATCGCAATTGTATCATCAATCATTTCTAATAATAGTTGGTATAAAATTTAGAGAATATCTCAATTTTTTATTCGCGAATTAGCATTAAATATTTGAATTAAAGATTACACGTTTAACAAACTTGCCAAAATCTCAACATATTATCTTTAACGACACAATTAGGGTTAGTTAATATTTAAATCCCCAACGAATTATAGAAATATATTAAATACTCAAATAAACGCATAATCCTAGCATATTCCAATTAACAATATAAAAGATTTACTCCCTAATATCTTGCGGCAGTTATTATTTTTTTTTCCGAAGATTTCTATGAATTAGCGAAACCTAATTAGTTTTCCTATAAATACTAAACACCTAAACTCCATTTACCATCACCAAACACAAAACTTGGATGATTTCTCTTTCTTTGTTCTTTCTTTGTTGTTTCTTTCTCTAGCTAAAATATTTATTGTTTTTCTTTCTTCTTTTCATTTCTTTACAACTAAAAAATTCTAGATTTCTTCACAATATGTATCACTAATATATATTTCGTATTGTTTTTTGCAGTTCAATTGTAACCGCCCATTCATGGCAACTAAGAGTGGGATTAGTGCATCGAAAAGTATGTATTTTTCGTTTTTGATTATGGTCAAACTGGGTTTTAGATTCATCATATGTAAATAATCTCATAACTAAATTTTACTAAAATTTTGCTAATCTCTATCTACTTAACATTTTTGAAGTACAAATTTGCTCCTCTAATCGGGTCGGGATTTTTTTCTGATTTTGACCCGAAAATCTTCAATCAGATCTTTCCTTAAATTATGGCAAAATTTAAAAACGAAAATACCTAATAAAATCTAAATTATATATATTTTCTCAACTAATTACTATATTTAAACTATTTATTTATGGTATATTCTTTACAATTTTTATAGATTAGGAAATCAAATATGATAATTTAATGATAATATAACAAATTTGAGCTAATTTTCTAAAACCTCTTTACCTAATTTAAACATAAATATATGATTCTCATTTCACTTTTATTTGATATTATATTTATATTATTTTGAATTATTATAAAATATATATAGTTAATAATTTTTTTTTTCTGCATATGTTATGATTTAAATTTTTTTAAACAGACATATATTACTCAATCGATGAAGAAAAAAAGTATGTGTGTAATCTATATTAACATTTTTTAAGAACAAATTGCACATTTAATCGGGTCGTTTTTTTTATTCTGATCCGAAATTGAATCATTCAGATCTTTTCTTAATTTCTACAATTATCTAAAACAAGACAGTATACCACGGGTGAGATCCTAAAATTAACAAATCAAAATACAATTATTTAGTATTTTAAGATACAATTATAAATTGTTTTTACGGGTTGGTCCAAAAACACATACTAATTTTAAAATATATATATTATGAAAACCATTTGAAAGTAAACTTTTAAATTGATTCGAATTATATATCTTTTAAATAAAAGTGTTATTAAAAAAATTACAAAATGATGTTTAATTCCACAGAACATGAGTATATGGTGGGACGGGTTTGGATCGATATTAATACGGGACAATATACTACGGGTGAAATCCTAAAATTAACAAATCAAAATTTAATTATACAATCTTAAACAGTAAACAAAACAAATACAACTTAAAATTTTTATTTTTTTATATACAACGCATGTGTTCCACGATGTACAACAAAAAAATATCATACACAACAAATTCATCAGTTTATAAAAAATAAAAATAAAATCAAATAATTAACCCGCGGTGTACCGCGGGTCATATCCTAGTACATCCATGTATAAACTGAACTAAATCTCACTATGACTATGATTAACTTATAAAGTAATCTGAAAATTTGTAAAAATTTAAAATAAATTGATTAGTATCTTTGTCTCTAAGGTAATGATATACTCCTATCAAAAAAAGTAATGATATACTCTCGTGGAATAAGGTTTACTTCAAGTTTGGTCTTTCTCTAATAATCTCTCACTAATTAGATTTCAGAATACATATTTAGGTCATGTTCGTTTCATATTCGCAAGGGGATTGCGACTGCGACTACGATTTTGAATCGCATGATGTTGTTCGTTTAGCAATCGCACGACTGGTCGCTGCGACTAATCGCTGTTTAAAAAGTCGCATCGCTATTTTTTCATGCGATCAAAAAAATCAGTTGCAAGTCGCGGCGATTGATCGCGCGATTAGTCGCAAGATCCTGCAACTCCCAAACGAACAATTTTCAGTCGAACGAACAACACCTAATAGTCCATTCAATTAGTACAAGATCAGATGGTTATACTTTTGTAAATTCTTCTCTTATAAATTGTTCAACCAGTCAAAGAGTCTTGTTCTAATTTTAAACATTTTGATTGACAAAAGAAAATGAAAATCTAAATAAACATGTTTAGGTCATCAATAAATGGGTAAAACAACACCAACATAAATCATATAATGAATTGTGTTTTGACTCTAACCATCAAAATTTTAAGAATGAAACAACTCAGAATACAAGAGCTGGTTCCAGCTATCCGGGACTCCAGAGAGACACCAATGGCTACAATCCGGCATCTTGTGACCGCCAAACCCGTATACCGAAGGATGTCCATCTTTCCTTAGCTGAGACATCAATGTCACATCCATTAACCGCGCCGGATTTTTCATTGTCTTTATCACTTTTGCCACCACCATCTCCGCTCGGTGTGGTCCCGCCCAGTACTTCGATCCCATAATCGGCTTTGTTTCTCCAATGCAACTGCCTTTGCCACCTTGTTTCGACCATTCGCTTGCGCTGTAGCATTATATGTACCATTATTGTTAACAATATCCACTTCAAATTATTTTAATCTATGAGCTTTAAATTATTTGGTTCTAACCAAAACTTATAGACTAATCCAACATATATCCATCGTGTTAATTTTTATCGTTGATTTAAAGTATGTATCGAATAAAAAAAAGTTATATAGAGAAAGAACTTACCGGCCATGGTCCGGAGAAACACCCTGGAAGAAGACTTTGGTTTTGGAAGGATCAATGTTCTGATCAATCCACTTAGCCCAAGTCATCATTGCTTTCTCATATGCCACTAACCGGTCCATGTCTTTAACCGTTACATTCCCGGACATAATTGCGTCCCATCTGCAACCCCAAATGATTACCTTAGTTAGATACTAGGTCCATATACTAAGATATGTTTGA